AAGCAGGAGGTCACTGTAATTGCTGCTGGACATATTTAACATTAAGATAATCAGGCCATTAATTACCTCTCGGATCATTAAATCAGCCAGTTGCAAAATGAAATTTCTGCCTCTATTACTCACATGAGAGATCACAAGGGTGGCTTTCATTTATCAGGGAAGCTCAGGTTACAATGGGACCTTGGCACAAGTGAGCGGCAGGCTCGCTCGCCAGGAATGGGTTGCTGTTTCTCAGGCCCTGTGGAACATTAAACAGGTTCTGTTTCTGTGTGAGCGAGCGAGGGAGTGAGTGAGGCAGGGGGTTATGGAAATGTGCTGGGGGTTGTGGAGGGGGGGGGGAGTTGGAGCCCTTGTAGGAAGAAGAGGAATAAAGATCTAAGGGTGCTCACTACTTAACATTGTAATAAGGAAATCATCCTCGATTATCTGAGCTAATTTGGAGACCGCCAGTAGCTGGTTATGCGGCTTCTTGGTGACATTTCATTAATTCAATTGCTTGTTAATGAGGAAAATGACATGTGGGGAGCAGATGCCATCCAAATACAGATGAGGCCTGGACAGACGACTGCACAGACACACCGCTGCTCTGCCTCTTCCTTTCTCTCTCTCTCTTCCCCCTCTCAAAGGCACCATTCTGTACACACACACCGCACATTTTCACTCACTTACAGGAATTCGAATCTACAACAACAACAACAACTTGCATTTATATAGCACTTCTCACGCAAGGTAGTGCCTTGACAGTGGTGGAGCATGATGCCAAGCTGGTGGAGTGGGTAGGTGACCATAAGCACGGTCGAAGAAGTTGGTTTGAAGATGGAGAAGGAGGGGGTAAGGTGGAGGGATTGAAGGAAAGAGTTCCAGAGCTTTGGGGCGTAGTGGCTGAAAGCAAGGCTGCCGATGATGGAATGGAGGGTGCAAGGGAAAAAGCAGAGGTGATGGGTAGTGGACTGCAGAGTCTAGCCAGTATTTTACAGAGATCAGTGTGGAAAAAGAAGCTTTTTGTACAATTATTCCTTGAAAAATTTAAGTTCTAACTCCCCACCCCAACTGTGACACCAAGCATTTGCTGGGATGACAGACAGGGGGTCCTGCGTTATTATAATAATAGCGCTTTGACGTCAAATAACACCTCAGAGCGTTTTACAAAGAAAAAACCATCACCAACTCACCCCAAGCAAATACTAGTTGGGAAAAAGGCTGGGGGAGGGAGGTGCTCATGTTCAGACCGGGAGCGGGTGGAATTTGACCATGAGAGAGCCCAGCAGGGCTGTAGGACTGATGGTAATTTATGGTGAGTTACAATTAGTGTCTCTGTCGTATAAATGAAAGCTATATATAATAATGCATTGATAACAGTATTATTAACGTCCATGTTTGGAGCTTAAACCCAGATCCGTCCAACCCAGTGACACTGTCTCAGAGAAAGACAGCTGCCAGTGCGAGGGAGTTGTCATTAACACTCTGATCCCGAAAGTCACGGTCCCTCGAACACTCTGACCCAAAGTCAACTTCCCCTTTAACACTGTAACCCCCAGAGTTACCGTCTCTTTAACACTGTGACCCCAAGAGATTTGCAGCAATGACTGGCTGATGGTTCACACAGCCACTGAGGAACTGACTCTGAATTAGAAAATGAATAGCTCCAAATTTAGTAAAAAAAAGCTCACAAATAATTTGTGGAAGATCAAGTTAATTCAGAATGCATTGATTTGATCTAATCTCCCATTCCATGCACTCTCTATGCTGAGAACATTATATCGAGCTAGACGAAGGAGGGGAACTTGGAAATTTTAGATCATTTTATTGAAAGATTTTTCAGCAAGTAATGAAAGGTGCTGTGAGGAGTAATGTCTCCCGTATAAAAATGTTAAGTCAATAGGCTTTTAAGCAGTTGTCGGTTTCAATTTGTTTCTTTCTGTGGGGAAGTTCGGAGGGCGGTTTGGAGGCTGCTGCTAATTGCAGGAAACCATTAAAATCATGCGTAGTGGACATTAAAGGATTAACAAATAGAGCGCTTGCAGCAGACCAGAGTGCTGGGGAATGTGGGGAGGGAGGGATTGACGAAGGGAGGGAAAGGAGAGAGGGAAAAGGGAGAGGGAGGATGCGTTTAACAGACAGCTAGATATGCACATAAGGAGCGAGGGCAGGGTGTGAGGGAGGAGAGGGAGTGAGGGAGAGTGAGAGGAGAGGGAGTGAGGAGAGGGAGGAAGCGAGCGAGGAGAGGGAGTGAGGAGAGGGAGGAAGGAGAGGGAGGGAGAGGGAGGAAGGATAGAGAGGGAGTAAGAGAGGGAGGGAGCGAGGGAGAGAGCGAGTTAGGGAGCGAGGAGAGAGAGTGAGGGAGGAAATGGAGATATAGTGTGACACCACGCTGAAAGGCCATACTGCCTAAACAGCCGGTGCCAGCATTTATATTTCCACAGAAGCCCCTACCCTCCTATTCGTCTCTCCTATACCCTTCGATTCCCTACTCCCTCATGCAGGTATCAAGTTTCCTCTTAAATACATCAATGCTTTTTGCTTCAACCACAGCTTCGAGCAGTGAGTTCCCATTCTAACCGCCCTGTGTGTGAAGATGTTCGTCCTAAACTCCCTCTTAGATCTCCTGCTGACTCCCCTGATATTCACGCAGTATAGGGTTGTTTGCATTCTGGTCAGTGGCCGAGAAGCTACCCTGCGTTAAGGGTACATTTAAGTAATAAATGCAAGCTATCATTTTTAAGCCAGCTCCCGATCACTCTGTAAATACAGAATCAATTCACTTCACAGTACATCCTGTGAAATACTTTGAGAAGTCTCAACGACATGATAAGGCGCTATATCAAATGCAAGCTTTATTTTATTATAAAGAGCCCTGCGGTGAAGGGCGCGTGGATGGTGAGGACGGATGGAGCTCTCCCTACTCATCTGAATAATGAACCCCTGGGCGACAAACAGGAGGCATCTGTGTCTTCAGAGTTGGTCAAATAATAATAATAATAATCCTTGCATTTCATATCACGCCTTATCACATCATTGAGACATCTCAAAGCGCTTCATAGGATATACTCTTAAGTGGATTGACTGTATATTTTTGTTGGTAAAATGCAGCAGTCAGTTGCCACAATTAGTTGTGAATTGCGTTTTTTTGAGGGATTATTACCCCCGGAAAGTGATCCGCCAATCGACCAACAACCGGGATCCTACTTCCTGCTAGGTAAACAGGCATGTGGGGTAAGGAAACTTGCCTAACTAGCCCAGGAATTGAACCAGGGTCCTCTTGCTTGCGAGGCAAGTGCTCTACTCTACAGGACACAGAATCCATTCTTAATCCCTCAACACTGTCTCCCACAACAGTGCCTGGCTGTGGAGAGACTTTGCCAAATGAGTGCCGAGGGGAGAAAACAACAATAATAATAAGCCTCACATCTGATACAGTGACTTTGAACAACAACAACAAAATTACGTTTATAGAGTGCCTTTCATGTCGGGAAGACGTCCTAAGGCGTGGAACAGTTAGGGATCAGGACTTTACAATTAATTCATTCTTGTCGGGAGGACTTCCCAAAGCGCGATTTATTTCAGTGCGTCTCTCCGCCCGGCGGAGAGATAGAGAGAAAGAGAGACGCAGAGTAAATGCTGTCACAGTGGTTAAGCGCCGAGCTGTGCTATAGGGATCCTGCACAAACCTCAGCGACCCAAACAATCCCTTCACAATTTCACACAATGCACCGAACACGATTATTACACCAGTCACTGTTTCACAGTCTCTGTTTTGCTGCTCCAGAGACATTCCTGATTTCATTTCTTACCAAGCGCGCAAGTTATTATAAAAAGTTATTTTTTCCCCTTCATTCAATTTTCTTTCCTCGGGAGAGACCGACCGCTGCCCTCACCCTCTTTCTCCGCCCCCACCAGCCGCTCCCCATCTTCCCAGATGGATCCTAAGCCTAATGCAGGACATTTGCAAAAGGCCTTGTGAAATATAGTCGGGGTCTGACCCCCATTCCTGCCAGCCCGAGCTGACAGACTCTGCTCAGTCATTCACAAAGTCAGGTCAAACGTGAGAACGGCTCCAAGTACATCTCCAGGGCTCGGCCTGTGGGAGCCACGTTTTGCTCACCTTGCAAATTAGACCATGGAGAGTGACCATAGGTTTGTGTGAGTGAGTTTGTGTGTGAGCGTGTATATGAGTGAGTGTGTGTGTGTGTATGTGTGTGTGTGTGTGCCTGTGCATCACCTTTGTGACTCCCCTCTGTGACACCCAGACTCCTGATTTGGAAACCCCACTTTCCGAAGCTCCACTCTCCCGGCTAACATCAGGTGCACCGATTTCCAGTTTCTCATTGACATGAAACTCAATTTCAAACCCTTACATCTTTTTAATTAAAAAAAAGCTTCCCACTTTCTTTCAGTCATTAGGGCCATCTTCAGTCCATTAGAGGCCGGCTATCAGCGCTCATTAGAAGCAAATGTGAAGCTTTGAAGGTTTACAGGCAAAGAGCACTGGCAGTAATCAGCGTTCCGAGGATTCGGGTCAACATCTGTTCCTCTCTGGGCTGCTCTTCCTGTCCTCCCAACCACGTTCCTGCTCCTTAAAAGTATTCCCATGTTCTCACCGCATGTGTGTGTGTGCTCCCAGCAAACTCACCCCCGCGATCTGTTACTCTCAACATAAACTGTCTAAACCCCTGGATTAGCCTCCAGCCTGTATCTCACTTCCGGGATCAGTTACTCTGTACATAATCCACCCAAATCCCTGGGTTAGACTCCCACGCGTTTATGAATAGGGATGAAATCAGGTTGTAAGAAGATTGACATGTTAAACTGTATCAAGCAACCGCCGATGAGGTGTGCTCCCCAGGTCACAGTGGGGTGGTTGTGGCTGCTTGTGGGGTGGACGGCAGGTGTTGGATGTCGCCTGGTGTCTGACTGATGGCCCTTGGCTGAGTCCCACTCTGGCTTGATCACTGGCAGCTCGGCTCGGGAGTAACGGAGCGTGGCAAGGAATGAGCACTTACCGTGGGGAATCCGGCGAGGGTCTCGTGCGCCCATGAGTGCTTCCTTCCCACACGCTGTTGGCTAACTCGTTGCCAATGGATGACATGACCCGGATAAGCTCAAGTGGCCAATCATCGAGGTCCAAGGAGCGAACCCGCGAGAGGTGTGTGCCCAGGTTGCGGTGAATGCCTGAACACTCGATACACATCAGTGCTCCCAGGTTCAAGCTGGCCCAGTCGGGGTCTGAAAGTGATCAAAGTGACAGTCAATATGCAAGTCTCTCCCTCCTCCTCCTACCCCTTGTTTTTTTTATTACAATGAATTTTTATTTGCTGTTGCAGATGAGTTGTGTGTAATAATGTCTGATAACAGTAACTTCCTCATCACTCCGTCCATATTACGAAATATGTCGTACCAAACATGGGACGGGTGAAATGAAAATGATGGTGCTCACACTGATCCCCTGGATGTCTAAATACAGTTAAACACTTGTACAAATAAGTACTTCTAAATACAATATCACCATTTTTCCACATGTTTCAGTTGTTGGTCAGTGCCCTGGGTAAAAAACACACATGGAGTTCACAAGACTTTGTGGACAACCTGTAGAACATGCATCCATGTCCAGTCCGGGATGAATAGAAAATAGCCCACCTATTCCTCAATCCAACTCCCAGAACATTTCCTCTCCTCCAGCTTCACTTCCCTCGCAGGAGTGGTAGAAAACGAGAGAAAACCCAAACTAACACACTCATGAGAGATGATCACAAGGACTTACTCAGTGCCTCACAATCCACACAGTGCGAGTTGCCCCTAATGTTTCGGATCGACTGAAGGGCGATGGCTTCATTCTGACTCGTTAATCGCGACTGAAAGAAAATTGGGAGACAAAGAAACAGAACGTTAGTGCCTTTCGAGCCGGACATCGACTACACAGAGCTGACTTAACAACATCCTCCCCATGGTGTTAGCCTGGCTCAGTCTCCAGCAATCTTGCCTCTGGGTCAGAAGGTTGTTGGTTTAAGCCCCCACATTGGAAGTCTGACCTCGATGCTGACACTCCAATGCAGTGCTCGGGTGCTTTGCATTGTCAGAGGTGTTGTCCTTCGGATGAAATGTTAAACGGAGGTCCTGTCTGCTTGTTCAGGTGGACATTAAAAATTCCATACTATTATTCGAAAGGAGTAATTTCTCCCGGTGTCCTGACCCACAGTCCCCCAGATAAAATTACTTGTTCACTTCATGGTTGTTTGTGGGATGTTGCTGTGCGCAAATTGGCTGTTGGGTTCACCTACAAATTACACAGTCATTCCACTTTACAATAAAATCCTACAACCCAGAAGCGAAAGTGCTACCAACTGTGCCAGGCTGACAGACTCAGAAGGTAAAACTCCATGTAATGGAAGGACACACAACAAAGACAAGCTTGAGAGTGTCCTTCAGGCTGTGATACACTTCAAAGTTCCTTTCGATGGGAGACAGCCTCATAGCTCATTCCAAAGCCATCTTGCAATAATAGTTGGCCTTACATTTGGTATCCCACCTTTCATGTCAGGAGAACATCTGATACGAACATAGGAACAGGAGGAGGCCATTCAGCCCTTCAAGCCTGTTCCGTCATTTAATTCGATCATGGCTGATCTTTATCTCAACTAATCCTTTCAATTCCAATTTCCCACTTTCTCCCCATATCCCTTAATACCCTGACCTACCAAAATCTATCAACCTCACTCTTGAAAGTGTGGATGGATCCAGCATCCACGGCCTTTTGGGGGAGAGAATTCCAGATTTCTACCACCCTTTGAGTGAAAAAATACTTCGTGATTTCACTCTTAAATGGCCTGGTTCTAATTTTAAGACTGTGCCCCTTGTTTTGGATTCCCCCACCAGAGGAAATAACTCTCTCTAACTTATCAAGCCCCTTTATCATCTTAAATACCTCAATCAAATCACCCCTCAATCTTCTAAACTTAAGGGAATACAATCCACGTTTTAACAGTCTTTCCTCGTAACTTAACCCTTTTAGGCCTGGTAACATTCTGGTGAACCTACGCTGCAACCCCTCCAGGGCCAATATATCTTTCTTGAGGTGTGGTGCCCAAAACTGAATGCAGTGTTCCAGATGGGGTCTGACTAATGCTCTATTCAGGTGAAGCACCATTTCTTCCCCTTTGTATTCCAGGCCCCTCGAGATAAAGGCCAACATTCCATTCGCCTTTTTGATTAGTTTTTACATCTGGGAACTAGTTTTTAGTGATTTGTGGATACGGACACCCAAATCTCCTCCACAATTCTTAATTTCTCCCCATTGAGAAAATATTCTGCTTTATCTTTTTCGGTCCATTGTGGATAACCTCACACCTCCCTACATTGAACTCCATCTGCCACAGCTTTGCCCACTCACTTAATCTGTCTTCCTGTAACTTCCTACACAGCTTACTGCGCCTCCTAGCATAGTGTCGCTTAGTGTAGTATCTCAAAGTGCTTCACAAGATTCATTGTAAACTGCAGTGACGGTATATTTGTAGGCCAATGCCGTAGATAATTTACATACAGCAATGTCCCACAAACATCCATGAAGTGAGCGATCAATATTTAGTTGGGGGATTGTTGGACAGGACACCAGGAGAGATAAACTCCCTTCTCTTTTCGAGTAGTGCCATGAGACCTTCACCGTTCACCTGAACAGGTAGACGGGGCCTCGGCTTAATGTCTCTTCCAAAGGATAGTACTCCAACAATACAGAACTCCCCCAGCACTGTATTGAAGTGCCCCTGGAAGAAGTTACCCCCACAATCCTTAACCACTGCCTTGGAGTCTTCTGAACTCCTCTCCCTCTGGCCTTCAACCCTCAATGACCCCTCTTCTGCTCTCACCCTCCTCAACACCCTCTCCTCCACACTTGACACTCTTGCCCCCATCACCTCCCGTACTGTCTCCTACTCTCGCTCCTCCCCCTGGTTCACCACCCACCTCCGCTCACTGAAGAGCCAGGTGCGGGCCGCTGAATGCACCTGCCTCAAATCTGGCCTAACGGTCCACCGACAAATCTGGCTGAACCTCCTCAAAATCTACCGCTCCACTCTAGCCTCGGCCAAGTCGTCCTTCTACTCCAGGATAATCCTGGAGGCGAAGAATAACCCCAGGCTTCTGTTTTCTACCACATCCCGACTCCTCCGTCCCCCTGCCACCCCGCGCAGGTCATCTCTTCCAACCTTCACTGCGAGGAGATGCTGGATTTCCTTGAATCCAAAATCAAGGGAATCCGCTCCGCGGTCACTCCCCCTCCAACTTCCACCCACCCCCCACTCCTTCCCTCCCCATCCTCCCCTACACACCTTCGAACCCGTTTGCCCACCCTCTGTCACCAAACTCATCCTGTCCCTGAAACCCACCACCTGCTCCCTTGACCCCATCCCCACTCCACTCCTTATCTCTCGGCTCCACCTCCTTGCCCCACTTATCACAGACATCATCAACCTGTCCCTCTCCTCTGGCTCTGTTCCCATTCTCCAAAAAACTGCCATCATCACTCCCACTTTGAAAAAACCCTCCCTTTGATGCGTTGCAGCTATCAAGCTACCGGCCCATCTCCAACCTCCCCTTCCTGTCCAAGGTCCTTGAAAGAGTTGTCGCCTCCCAGCTGCGCTCTTTCCTCTCCACCCATGCATTATTCGAACCCCTTCAGTCGGGTTTCTGTGCTGCCCATAGCACAGAAACTGCCCTGGTCAAGGTCACCAATGACATCCTGACCATCTGTGACCAGGGCTCCCTCTGCCTCCTCGTCCTCCTCGACCTATCGGCAGCATTCGATACGGTCGACCACGCTATCCTCCTCCACCGCTTGTCCTCCCACCTCAACCTTCAAGGCCCTGTCCTTGAGTGGTTTAGGTCGTACCTCTCCCACCGTCTTCACTTTGTCTCCACAAATGGCTTTTCCTCCGGCCCCCGCACTGTCTCGTGCGGTGTCCCTCAGGGCTCTGTCCTCGGTCCCCTCCTCTTCACCCTCTATATGCTCCCCCTTGGTGACATCATCCGCAGACATGGGGTTAACTTCCACATGTATGCGGATGACACCCAACTCTACCTTTCCTCCTCTACCCTCAACTCCACGACCACCGATGTCCTGACAGCTGCCTGTCCGACATCGAGTCCTGGACGAGAGACAACTTTCTTCAGCTCAACGTACGCAAAACTGAGGCCCTCCTGATTGGCTCACGTCAGCGCCTCCGCACCTCAGGCGCTGACAGCATCAGCATCCAAGGCTGCACTCTCCACCTCTCAAAGTCAGTCAGGAACCTTGGGGTTCTGTTCGACCCTGAGCTGTCCTTTCTCCTTCATATCCGCGCCACAACTGGCACCGCCTTCCATCACCTCCGAAACATCGGCAGACTACGACACTACCTCTCCCCTCACGCTGCTGAAACTGTGGTCCACACCTTTATCACCTCAAGGCTGGACTATGGGAACTCTCTCCTCGCCGGCTTTCCCGGCACCTCCCTCCACAAGCTGCAGGTCATCCAGAACTCTGCAGCTCGTGTACTGTCCCGCACCAGGCTTCGCGACCACATCACTCCCACCCTCGCTCGCCTCCACTGGCTCCCCATCCCCCAGAGGATCGAATTCAAGATCCTCATCCTCACCTACAAGGCCATTCACGGCCTTGCTCCTCCTACCTCTCCGACCTACTATCCTCCTACCTACCTGCCCGTACCCTCCGTTCCTCTGGCTTCGGTCTGCTCCACATCCCCCGCCCCAACCGCTCTACCATCGGTGGCCTGGCCTTCAGCCTCTCAGCCCTGAGGCTCTGGAACTCCATCCCCCAATGCCTTCGCCGCCTCCTCCCTTTCCTCCTTCAAGGCCGGTCTCAAGACCTTTCTCTTTGACCGTGCCTTGAGCTCCCCTCTCGACTCTCTACCCCCTCCTCGCTCCCTCCCTTCCCTCCCCTCATCCTGACCATTTCCCCCCTGCTCGGGTCCTGACCCAACTGTACAGCGCCTTGGGACGTCCTCCCGACGTGAAAGGCGCTCTATAATGGAATCTTGTTGTTGTTGTTGTTGAAGTGTCAGCTTAGACTGTGAGCTCAGAGTCCCAATGTGAATCCATAACATTCTGTCTCAGAGGCAAGAGTGCTCCCAAATGAGGGCAGGCTGAGACGCTGACATAAACTGGCAATGTGCTGTAAACACTGGAGGGAATTGTCAGGAACCAGGAACTCCGATGGTCCAGTGACAAGGCACACACTATTACCTGCCTTGAAGTACCCAGACCCTCGTAAAGAAAATTACAGCCCATTCGCTTTCATACTCTCTGTGCAAGTTTGCTCAAAGAAATTGTAACTTGCACTAAACACAGATGGCACACAAAGAAAAACTCTGTGGGTTGTGGGATTGGAGACTTATGAGAGAGAGATCCAGAGATCCCTTCATTGTTTCACTCTCCCTGTAAGCATAGTAAAAATAATAATCATTGCAATTGGAAGAGCGCCTTATCACTTCGGAAGGAAGTCTCAAAACGCTTCAGAGGATTTACCGTGAAATGGAATTGACTGTGTATTTGTAGGCAAACGCAGCAGCACAATTGTGCACAGCCATGGAGTGAGTGACCAATTTTATTTGGGGGATTGTTGGCCAGGATACTGGGAGAGAGAAACTCCCTTTTCTTTTCGAATGGCACTGTGGGATCTTTAACATCCACCTGAACAGGAAGACGTTGGTTTAACGTCTCGTCCGAAGGACGGCACCAGCACTGTGTAGTCAGCTTAGACTATGTGATTCCAAATCCCGATGTGGGGCTTGAACCCACAACCTGAAGATAATTCAATTGGAACATTAAATACAGAACGTAAGTGAAGGTTCTGGAGAGTTAATGAAAGGGAGTGGCATATATTTGACTGACTAACTGACTGAGTGACTGACTGATTGATTGACAGTGTGACTGACTGACTGACTGAGAGTGTGACTCACTGACTAACTGACTGAGTGACTGACTGACGGTGTGACTGACTGATTGATTGACAGTGTGACTGAATGACTGACTGACTGACTGAGAGTGTGACTCACTGACTAACTGACTGAGTGACTGACTGACTGTGTGACTGACTGTGTGACTGATTGACTGTGTGACTCACTGACTAACTGATTGTGTGACTGACTGACTGTGACTGACTGACGATGTGACTCACTGACTGACTGACTGTGTGACTGACTGATGGTGTGACTCACTGACTGACTGTGTGACTGACTGACTAACGGTGTGACTGACTGATGTGCGCTGTCGTTCTTGCCTCACCTTGTTCTTGCTGCTCTCACAGGACTGCAGACTGGCCAGGATCTGGCTCTCGATGGCCTGGACCCAGGCGTCCCGCTCCTCGTAGGAGGCCGCTTCAAAGTGCCACGTTTGTCCCGTGAGGGAGACAATAATGAATTCGAGATTTTCTTCCTGCTCTGTGAAGACAAACAGACCACGCCTTTCAGACAGGGACGGCAAGAGCTCGGCAGCAGCGGGCAGAGCTTTGGCATCGCTGAGCATTGGTTAACCCCAGCATTTAACCCTGGCATTTAGCCCCAGCGCTCCTCTGAGGTCAGGGGGATGTGTAAGTGAAGGTCAAATGTTGAACACAGTAATTGATGAGCACTAGGTGAACGACTTGGCGAACACAGCTCCATCAAAGGTGCCATACCAATGCACATTGTTGTTGACTCAGCAAACACTGGCTCCTGGGGCCCACTGTCTGTCTGTGTGTCTGTATGTCCGTGTGTCTGTCTGTCTGTGTGTCGGTCGGTCGCATTATCTCGGGATTAGACATTAAACAGTTAAAGAAGGGGGCAGAGGCAAAGGGTTCACATTTGGAAGCATTTTTGCTGGCAAAAGAAAATTGGCCACAATACTTTTTCATCAGCTATTACAAAGACAACAGATGCCATAATTGGGAATCCCTGGTAGCATTCAGAGAGCAGCTCGGAAAAGACGCTGTCGTTCAAAGGAAATCTTACAACCTGATAGCCGGGGGTCAGGGCAACGCAGGATTGCTTGCTCCTGCTTATGATTTATAACGTTTCAGCATCTGTTCAATCAGCCAGTGTGAGAGGTGAGCGGCGGAACGTGGGGTCAGGCTTGATGATTTGTGCCCCCCCACCCCCCCCCGCCAGATCAGGCCCCCTGGGGGGGAGGGTGAAGAGTCTGAGCAAAGCCCCGCCTCGTCTCCAACATTCACGCAAATATGTACACACGTGCGTACCGATTTGCTAACATACTCCCATACACGTGGAAACACACGCGCAAAGATAGGCATGTGACTCATACCGTACATTCACTCACACTCACGCAGAGATACATACATATATGCACACATGCAGATATATGTGCAGAACAACCGCACACAAAAACAGTACATGGCACCACACAAAAATACATACAGGGTTGCACACAAAATAGAAACAGAAGACGCACAACATAATACAGTGCCACACACACAAATTACATACAGAGCAGACACAAAGTACCTACAACACACACACAAAATACATAGAGTGTACACACAAAATACCTATAGCCTGTACACAATACATACAGGCGCGCACACAAATAATAATACTTGCGTTTTGATATTGCGCCTGATCACGTCTTCTAGACACCTCAAATCGCTTCACAGAAGATATTGTAAAGTGAATTGACTGTCTATTTTGGAAGCCAATTGCGCACACCAGAGTCCCACAAACAGTCATGGATTGAGAGACCAAATTATTATTATTTTTTTTTGAAGGGGTTATTATCCCTTCAAAATTATCCCTTCAGGTATTATTTACTGCTGTGTGTGAACAAGACGTATGGAGTAAGGAAACTTGCCCAACATTTCACCCTGCTCGGGAATTGAACCCAGGTTTTCTTGCTTCCAAGGTGATCACTCTAACCACTAAACTACAGGACTCCACCAAAATCCATACAGCACACAGAAAATAGATACACCACACATACAGAACACATACAACACACTCGCGTGTACAAAAGCAGTGAAAAGCAGAGGAGGCTGCTGTTGATGGGACTGTAGTGAAATGTAGTGTAGCCCAGCCTGTGTTTTGATCTGAATGTTGGAAAGCTGAAATCCTCAGGCTGGCTGGAATATGGCAGCACTGCTCAAACATGAAACCTCGGACATAAAACCTCGGAGACAAGGTCTGGCTCCTAGCACCCAACGCCCCGCCCATCACCTTGCACTGTCCTCCAGCTCCCAACACTGAATCAACACACCTTTACTGTAATAATACTTGTCTGTGGCAACAGTAAGATGTCTCTAAATCAGCAAATAATTATTTACAGCAGAAAATGTTTCAGGTTTAGAATTGATGCCTGCACACTGGCCCGGGAGTAAAGAGATAGTCCCATCTATGCATTCAGGTACTGTGCAGATCTGGCAGTGAGGCGGGGAGAAGGGGGGGAATTGTCTGGTGATTAAGAAGCTATTAATTGAAAACCAATGCAAAGGATATGTGTAGAGTAATGGGGATGTGGGTGTTTAAAGCTTTTGGTTATCCAGCACCTTTCAGAATTCCATGTACAGGGCTGTACCACTCGCACAGCTTGTTGGATAAAACTTACTTTGCATTCTGCCCCTCCTCCCCACCTCACAACAACAACAACAACAACAAGATTCCATTTAGAGAGCGCCTTTCACGTCGGGAGGACGTCCCAAGGCGCTGGACAGTTGGGTCAGGACCCGAGCAGCGGGGAAATGGTCAGGGTGAGGGAAGGGAGGGAGCGAGGAGGGGGTAGAGAGTCGAGAGGGGAGCTGAAGGCACAGTCAAAGAGAAAGGTCTTGAGACCGGCCTTGAAGGAGGAAAGGGAGGAGGTGGCGAAGGCACTGGGGGATAGAGTTCCAGAGCCGGGACTAAATCACAATCCCGGGACTCCAGTTGTTAAATAAAGAGCTCAAATTGGGGCGAGGGGGGAGGGGGAATAGGAATAAATTGACCTTTGACTTTCATATATACAGTACATTATGTATTTTTTTTAAAATGCACACTCGAAATATAATTTACAATTTTCTCGTAACAATGAAAAAAATTTAATCTGGCATTTAACAAAGCTGGCTCCCCTTTCGCTGAAAGCCTTTCTTATTCAAGTCAATTTATGAACTTTGACTTAGGGGGTGACCTTCAGCGAGGGGGAAGGAAAGCAGGACAAGACTGTGCAAGCTGACGCACATGCAAACGCAGCCCGGCACGCAGGGGCTCAGGGCTCAAAGCCCGGCGACAAAGGCACATTACGGCAACCACTTCGCAAAACAAATTAAAGGCCGTACTTAAATGTCACAGCACACAATTGTATTTTGCTACAGATCATTACACCTGGTACTTGCAACTTAAAGAGTAATAACTTGGGAAATATTACATTGAATGCCAGCGTGTACGAGAGGAAAGGCAGGGGGGGTGGGGGGGATGGGGCTGTTGAGGTTGGGGGAGATGAGAAAGGCAATAGGATTTTCTTAAAGTAATTTAAACATCGCTATTCTAAGGGCTACAGGGAAAGGTCAACATTTAAGTAACAAAAGAAAGGAACATGTATGACATGAATGAAGCATAATAACTAAAATTAAAGGCCACACACGTAGGCAAGCATGCTCCAGGCAAACCAGGAACAATTCCTGCTGGGGTGCCGTGTTCTGTGGTCTCTCCCCCCACCCACCCACCCTTTACATTCATTACCTTCTGTGTTGGTGCTGCTGCTGTTGTATATGTTTCGTAAGCTACCTACACGGTTTAGTTTCCATGCTTTACGTTTGGCTGCATCCAGAGAGCAGAAACAGAAGACAAAAGGGAGAGAGAGATGTCAAAGTACAGCGAGGCAGTAGATAACAAGGTGGTTGAGGTTGGGAGGGGGGGGAGGGGTATGTGTGGTGTGAGGTGAGGAGGGGGTTTGTAAGCAGCTGGACAGGAGGCAAAGCACGGCTGGAAGCGAGAGTCTTGGAGAGGTGCGATTGTGGCAAGCAATCAGTCTGGCTGGCATTTGCTGCAATTCTGTAGCAGGACCATGCAGTCAACGAGAGGGCTAAGCTGTGACAGTCACAAAGCACACTCAACAAGCTGAACTGCGCCGAATTATACTTAATGTTCCGCTTTTGCGAAAAAAGAACTGTGAATTGCAAGACGTCTGCTGTTTGATAACAACAAGAATACTAATTGATCCACTGACCTAGCACCTTATCATGTCATTGAGACGTCTCAAAGTACTTCACAGAATATACTGTAAAGTGGATTGACTGTATATTTTGTGGGAGAGATGTGGCAGCCAATTGTGCAGAGGAATGTCCCAAAACAGTCGTGGATTGAGTGACCAAATTATTATTTTTTTAAAAAGGGATTATTACCCCTGGAAAGCGATCTGTCAGCACACAGCAATGTACCACAAATACCGACAAATTGAATGACCAATTTTATTTGGGCGAGTGTGGGCCAAGACACTGGGAGAGAGAAATTCCCTTCTCTTTTGGAATAGTGCCACAGGATCTTTAATGTCCACCTGAACAGTCAGATGGCACCTCAGTTCAACGCCTCATCTGAGGGACTCTCGACAATGCTATGCCACTCCCCCACTTCTCTCCTAGCACTTCTTTGGGAGTGTCAGTGTAGATGGTGATCTTGAAAGTCATGGGTCTTAAAAGCCGCGGGACTCGTGGTCTAACGAGGAGAATCAATCCTCATATAAAGCTACCGAGGAAGCCAGTCCATAGAGCTCAAGAACCAATATTCTCTACCCTCCAACACACCAACTTTAAAGCTATCTCTTCTTTCCCCTTTAGATAGGTCTTTGGTGCCCACATTCTGTTTGTGTCTGTGTTTGGGGAGGGGGAGGGAATAACTGTCCTTCTACTGGTGTCTATCAATGCCACTGTTGATCACCATTGTCCATTGTCACCATAACTCAATCCATCGTCATCAAAGCTCAATCCCCTTTCACCGTAACTCAACCCATTATCACTGTAACTCCAATATCTTCAGGTTCTACATCGTGTATTTCTCCGGGCAGTAAACCAACATTTACAATGCCATGACTCAGATGAAACAGGCCCCATATGACATTATCTTTGCACAATATCAACCCTACCATTTTTCCATTACTGCATCAAACAATCCCTTTCCAACTAAAACTAAGCTGTGACACAATATTCCAAGTACACATTCGCAGCACAAAGTGATCTGTATAAAGCAAGAAAGAGGTGAAAATGACAGAGGACAACAATCAATAGTCAACAAAACCGAACTTTCAGGAATTAGAAGTGGAAGTTTGTGCAGATGTAGCACATTACACAAAACCTCTTTGGAAGCAAAGATTCCAGGCTCCAAACTTGTAGGCAGTGCAAAATGGCAAGAGTCAGAAGGTTGTGGGTTCATAGTCTAGGATGACACTCCAGTGCAGTGCTGTAGGAGTGTCAGAAATGCCATCCTTT